CGGCCTACATCAGGCTAGACCTGACCTAGTATATTTTGTATAATAGGCCAGACTCGAACCTTAAAAAAGCCTGTTTAATAAAAAGACCGTAGGCCCACTTTCAAAAGGCCGGGCCTATAAGCCTACAGGCCAGCCTATATTATACTATTTATTTTAAATAAAATAAAATAAAATAGAGTAAGTATGCCTTGAAGAAAAAAAAGATATAAATTTAATCAATTGCAATTATTTATAACTTAATTATATTCGATTATATCTTAATAGAAATCTTACTTTATTTCTTATATAGGAGGAACCAACATCTCAACATGTTAGATTGTGTATATGAATATATTAAAAGATTTTTGGGAGAGGTTATACTTATTACAAGCAGCAATGATGTGTTTGTTGGATTCATGTAGTTATTTTAATTTACATGGTATGGATTTGTTTGTTAAATCTGATGAAATATATGTTATTTAGTTTGAGCATTTTGCTTTTGAAAATGACTTAAATGCATATTGTATTAGTTTTGTTATGATTCATGATTCTGTTTAGACGTTGAAATTATGATTTTTGGTGTAGCAACAGAATTTGAGTACTTTGTAAGGTTGATTCATGGTTCTGCTTGGAAGTTAAAAATTAACAGACCAAGCCAGGCCATTTGTTTTTTTTTATAAACAGGCCAAACCAGGCTAACAGTTAGACTTATACTAGGCTTGGGTCGGGCCAAATTGAAATTTTTTGACGTAGGCTTGAGCTTTTCGAGGCAAAGCTCGGCCCAACCCAGCCCTCTTTCACCTCTACGACTTTCACAGTTTTAGTTACATAGACAGAGTAGCCACACCTTTTAAGTATAAAATTAGTATGATCATGCTTGTGGCACGAATACTTCAAAGGGAAGGATCACAATGTATATCTGTTGCAACAGTTTTCATATCAATAATGATTACAAATAAATGTTTCATATATTTTTTGATTTTTTTTTCTATAAGCCATCATATAACTACTGATTAGTGACCACTTCCAAATATTTTTAGAAGACTGATAATTTTTACCATTTTCTTATATGACAGTTACTTTTTTTATTGTTAATGAGGCATCTGTATAAAGACACAAGACTATAACAGAAATCACAGGACAATGCTAATTAAGAAGTTGAAACAAAATTGATTAAGCATTCAATTTGCAATAATAGCTAGCTTAGCAGCAACCAATTCTTTTGAGTCAACCCGCGAGCTAACCTGCGAGCTTTTTTTTAAGCCAACCCGCGAGCTTATTTTGAAGCCAACCCGCGAGCCAACCCTAACCCGGCTCGGGTCCAGCTGAATTGGGTTTTCTGGCTCGTTGTTTTTTTGAGCCAACCCTAATCCGACTCGTTTTTTTGGGGTTGAATACTGATTGTGCCGGGTTGGCCCGTTTTGCCAACCTTACCGACCACCACTAGTAACAACCCATTGCCTTAGAGCACTGCCACCCAAACCACATGCATCATGCACTAACTATCACTACCACCACCACCACTAGTCATCACCATTGTCGCTATTCGTCAGCTACTACAATTGTCACTGTTCACCGTTGGTGTCACCATATCCATCGCCATTAGTCCCCAAACCGCCTCCATCATCAATTTAACCAGTCACACCTCCTTATCACCACCACCACCACAAGTTGTTGCCACTAGCTAACAACCATTAATTTTGATAATAAATTTAAAAATAATTTTTATTTTATTTTATTTGGTAAGGATAAATTTTTTTATTTTGAACAATTATGTAGGTTTTTTATTTATTTTATTTAAAATTGCGTTTTTTACAATTTTTAATAATTTTTTAAAAATTAATATGTAAATACTAAGTAAGTAGAAAAATAGTTTGAAAATTAATTTTAAAAAATATATAAAATGATATTTTTGTCTATTTATATTATATCATGACATCATATGTTTCGTTGTAAATGCCGAATAAGATAACATTATGACATTATCCTATCATATTGTTTATCTGAATACACATCAAACAATGGATAAATTCATTTCCTATTTTTATTCGCCTTTTATATTATAGGAATAAAGTATTTATATTACATGGACTTTGATGCTTGGTAGTATAAAGTTTGAGTAGACCTAATTTTTAAGTCTTTCAAGTAGTTTTATCATTAAATTAAGGGTTAAATGACTTTCCAACCAGAGAAAAAAAAACTCCTGATGACCTATTGAAATTCGCGTTGTTATTTTTTAACAAGTGTCCGCACATGTTTTTTTTTTTTTGTCTCTTGGCATAAGACAATGATATTTCAGGAGATTCATTTAACTTTTAAGTGGCTTTGGTATAAGGAAAAAATTTTGATTCCTCGAAAATTGATATCAATAATTCTATTTATTCTTGTTTGATATAAGAATTGTTAAAAAAATTTGAAAAATCAAATTCGCAGGAATTTTTTGTGGAAAAATCAAATTCCCACAAATTCCAAAAATTTGTGGTATTCTTGGATCCTGTGATATGGAAAAATTTCGCACAATTTTTGAGTAACATTCTTGATAATATTTTGACATTCCAAACAGTTTTTTAATAATATTCCGAAAATTTCATTTTTTCATTATATCCCAGGGATCATGATTCCTAAACATAAATTTTTTTATCCCTTACCAAATACCATCTTAATTAATCCTTAAAAAATAAAAACAGTATTTAATAGACGTGTTACAATAAGATGAAACATATAAATATATGTTTCAATTTTATATTTATTATATTATAAAAATAAAATAAAATAAAATATCGAGTTAAAAAAATCAGCACATTTGGTTCCAAAAAAAGGAATCGATGATAATAGAACAGAAACATTAATCCTTAAAAAAAAAAAATTCAGCCATATTAATCATTTTGATATAAAATGATCACCAAATCCATCCTTTTATGTCACTATTTTAGCGGTTTATAAATATGAAAACGGTGAAACTTTAAGTCTTTAAACTGGTAAAAGAATCTATGAAAGACTACATTGACGACAAAAAAGTGAATATAATAATGTCTCGTTATTTTAAGGGTTTTATAAGAGTTATGTTGTAGGAAAATTGATTGTGTAATGTTATAGAGATTCGTTTTACGTGCCGTAATTTTTTTTTTTTTTTCTTCAAAAAGTGTGGGTCCCACAAAATGTTATATGTGTAAAAAAGTTTGTTGTGTCATGTTAAATGACAAATGCAAATCCCTTGTTTTAAACATTAAATAAAGGTTTTGATCTAAAAGTTTTTGGGTGAATAGTTTGTTTGTTGCAAAAGAAAGTATTCAGCTGTTGTGCACTTCAAAAAAAACTTTGAAATATGGTATTGCATTTTTCGATACTCTATATTTTATTTTGGCACTTCAACACATATGGCATAGATTTAAAATCTTTTAATTTCAATCATTATATTTATTTGATTATGATTATTATTTTATTGAGTTTAATATAAACATTTGAGATATCTTATGTTTCTTTACAAAATTAATGGGTATTAGAAGTTCAACTCCATTTTTTTGTTATCAAAATTTAACATTTTTTATAATTAACATGTCGAAGTATCGTATCATATCTCATGTCCCGTATCAATATCGGTTTAACATAACTCACACTATTTTTTTTTAGTGCCTTACATGTTTTGCATGTACAACATACACCAAAATATCTCATGATATTCACAAGTCACAAAGTTTTTAGTATCAAATTAAAATTAGTTTATGAGTTTAATATATGGGGTTTATTAGTTTCCTTTTATAAGAAATTTTTTCTCTCCAGCTGCACTCACAAACCAGCAATGAGACCCACCAAAATAAGAAAGAAAGAAAAATTAAATGGACCCCACATCATTTTTGGGTCAGCAGGAAGAGAATGTTGTCTTCTTTGAGCGAAGAATAGTAAAACCCTTAATATATATAATATTATAAGAGAAAAAATTATTTCATATACATATAAAAGTATGTGGAATTAGTATAGTTTTTTTCTTTTTTCTTTTCACATAACTACACATAGACCCCATTAGGGGTGTTAACGAGCCGAGCTTTGGTCTTAAAAGGCTAAACCTTTGTTTAGATGTCCAACCTGACCAAGTATGTTACTTGTTATAAATATAATTATCGGCCTGTGGCCTGACTTATTTACACAAAATAAAAGCCTGATTTAGTCTGTTTAAAAAAAATAAGATAATAAAAATTTATCCAAACAGAATATACAATCAACAACACTAGTAATTCCATAAATATTCATAAATTTAATGTATATCCAAACATCATAATATAGAACAAAATCATTCAAAAAGTCTGTTTAACCAATAAAATAGGGTGAAATAGATTGAGGAGAAAGAGAAGGTTATTACAAGTAGTATATAAAAAAAAAAAATAATAATATACTATGCCAGCCTGAGAGGCTCTAAGGCCGAGCTTTTGAATTGGAGCCTGAAGTCTTTTTATTAAAGAGCTTTTATACAAGTTCAAGCCTTGTATCAACAACTAATTTTAAACATGTAAACTCAGACCTTCAGGAGCCGAGCCAAAGGCCCCTGGTTCATTTAGCACCCGTAGACCCATACATTTTTATATGTGTAGAGAATAATTTTTTCGCTTATCCAACCTTATAATATAAAAAAGGGCAAAAAAGAAGATCACGCATGCATGGGCCGGGCCCATTGAGGACAGATCTGTATAGGTAACAAATGGTAGCGTAGCTAATTATGACATGTAGACCATGGACACCCACACCACAACTCAATTAACCATGACTTTTACGGTCCAGATATGTATACCATATTCTAGTGAACGGCTGAGATGACTTAGGAATGATAGGGTAGGTGAGACTGAGGGTGCACAGGAATAAACCTCTCAATAAGTCCAATGGAGAAGAAGACAACCTTTTCCTTGTCCTTTACGGGACTCCAACCTGGATTTTCACATCGGAGTGCGTTGTCGATTGCTACCATTTCGGAAGTTTCTAGATTAAATAAATGGATCTCATAAAACCATTATTTATTTATTTTAAAATTTTTGGTGCCAACAAAAATTTCATGCCGTTGAAAATCTTTGGGATTTGAGGTCCAGGGAGGGATAAGTCGATGCTGGTTTGACAGAGCCACCAAAGGAGGGAAATTTCTGTTTGGAAAATCTCTTTTCTCTCTAAAAAAAAAAATGCTGCAGAAACTGTGTTTGATGGCTTCACATGGATGTTCTCCAGGGCTTGTTTTGCAGCAAGAACTAGCCATGGTTGGCAGCATTATGAAGGTAACATCTGGTCTGTGATGTGAAAATAGGTTTTTGATGTATTATCCTTATTTCAACAATATGTTAGAATTCATGAATTGGTTTCCTTCAAGCATAATACAATATAGAGCACAACTTGAATTTGGAATTGACCATGTTATAATTCTGAAATCAAGGTAGTTAGTATGGTTATGAATCTTATGATTGTGTGATTGAGTAATTTGGATAATTGGGTATGCATCATTTTATAATTGCCTAACATGGTTTATTTTTGTGCTTGAATTTTTGTTATGACAGGGTTGTCAACCGTTGTTGCCTTCTCCAGTAGCAAAACCTGAAATTATCAGATATCAGTCTCCCAGTCTTAGGCTAAATCCGTCTGAGGTGTCAAGGAAATCCCAGAATGAGTGGTTCAATTCCAATCAGTTTGTCAACGTTGACTTGTCAGCTCAAAGGCCCATGCATATTGATGTTCAAGGTGTGAAAGCAGCTCATTGAGTTGTGTATTTGATCCTACCATTTGATGGTTAACTCCTTCTACTGTGTTACATAATTGTTTGTTTGTTTCCATTGATTAGTAGAATATTTGATAGGTACACATAATAACAGCGCTCTCTCCCCTCTCCCCCACTTTGCGTTGTGTATGATTCTATCTTCTTCTTCTTTTCGGAATTTGGCTAGCTACACCACTTAAAGTTCTATTTAGTGATGTAATAACTAATAATCCTGCAAATTCACTTTCAATTTTGTTATAAAATGGCTCGAATTTAAGTACGTGTTTCTTGGCCCACCATGTGACCCCGCCAGGAAAGCATGCGGTGCAACAGGACATGGGATTTTCATGACACTCCTTGCAGCATGGACAAATATTGTAAATCAGTAGTTAGATCATAGACTGTACTAAATGTTAGCAACTATAAGGTTATGGTTGTATTGGGATTAGGGTTTGAGAGTTGAAAGACTACTCCTTGTAATCTTCATTGAACATACTGAATTTTCTTTATGTTTTGTCTTTGGATGTAGTAGGCCTATAGTTCGCTGTAGGTCAAGTAGTGTTTAATATAAGCACCATTGTATCAAGGACAGGTAACTCCAAGAATCTCAGTCAAGGCACCCGTGTCATGCTTGAAATCTAAGAGGGGGAAGCAAAGGCCCATGGAGAGAATTACCTCCAAGGACTCTTTTTTTCCTCCTTGAAAGGAATCTACTCAACTAGCTTCTATGTACACCATGGTATCTCCTTGGGAAGGGATGATCACCAAGCAAGACAACTAGTCAAGGGAGGGATTGGAACCCATCCACATGGATCATTGGATGTTCAACTGGTTACAATAATTTCTTCATCATGTGTCACTTCTCTCAACTTATACCATTATGGATAGCTTGTGTGTGTCTCTTGTTTATTGAATATGCATCATTCTTTCACATGTTAATTTAGTGTGAAATTTTAAATCCAATGACCAAAAGGTTACGGTAATACCTAATTAGTGAAGGTTGGTTTTCTCTCCTAGATATGATGAGTTGCTAGTTGGTCCAATGATGTAAGAAATTGGAAAGCAGATGGTAGATTTAATTCTTGTGCCTACTTTCACTGCTGAGATGAATGTTTAAGATGACTCATGCTGCTAAATCCTTTGTTTTTATTTTTTGTGCCTTACTCTAAGCAATTTCACTTATCTTTGGTTGCAGCAACTTGTCCAAGTCCAATACTTTTCAGCTTTGGCATCGTTGAACAATGCACTGAGTGTGACAATATTTTGCAGTTTATCATGTCTGGGACTGCTGAAGCAGGGATAGGTGGAGGTCATTTATCTTTGTTGTCTGACTTGATGGATTTGCAACTGTCAGGCATTGATGAACCTCAACAACTGTTGACACCTCTTATCTACCCAAATAGAAAATTCTACATCCCAAAGCCTTTGCTAGATATTTTTCAAGATTCACCCCTTAGTTCGAAGATCAAAGTTCATCCAGATGGTCAAGTAACATTTATGGGTACTGCGATTGAGATGAAAGATCTTCTTTCTGTAGTTGCTGAGTCGCACCTATCACAAAGCACACATAAGAATGAAAAACAGTCTATGCTCGTTCCACACTTTAGTAGGTATAAATATATGGACCTGTTTAAGCTTCAATTGGTCAGAGGAAATTCTGACTTTCCTGTTACTTAAAATTACTTTTTCATTGTAGAACAGAATAATCAGCAATTTTTTTTTTTATTTTTTTGTGTGGGTGAAGACTGTTGATCTATGAATTGACTCTATTGATTTGCATTCATGACAAATAGTTGAAGAATTATATCTATAAATGTGCATATCCAGTGTAATTAATGTATGTTGCATGATGAAATAAAAATGAAGTACATATCTCTGGAACTTTGGATATTTACTTACCTCTTGTTACACTTGTTTTGGAGGGACTGCTGTGTTAGTTTGGGATACTTTCATTTAAGATTAAAAAAACCACTCCCTATTAAACCTCGACTAGTGAGGGTGGGGTGAGGGGAATCCTTGTACGCAGCTTACTTTTGCATATTTGCAAAAATGCTATTTCCCGAACTCGAACCCGTGACCTTTCAGTCACAAAGGAGCAGCTTTAGCACTGCTCTAGGCTTGCTCTCTTACTTTCATTTAAGATAGCTGAAAAATTTAATTTGTGGGACGACAAACTTCCTTTAATTGTATGTGTGTTTTATATTTGTTTTTTTTTATACAAACAATTCATTAAATTGTGTCATCTTATTCTGCTGTAAATTCAAACATTAATGAGTGATAATATAAGTTGGAGTAGTTTAAATCAATTGCTTTACTTGTTTGTGCATAGTGATTCCTTGCTTCAACTGATTTTTCAATAAACTTTTGATGTTGCTGTTATACACTTAAGTAGTAGATATTACTCACCTTTTGAATGTCCATATTTAACAGTCTATTTTTGTTAGTTATATATCACGCAACTGACTTTTGCTGTGGTTCTGTATGTACAGGCTGAATATCGATGAAGTAGAGTCCATACGTCATTCCTCAACATTGGATATTCATTCTACATTGACTGTTCCTTTAAGGAGGTATGCAAAATATGCTTTCTGAGAAGTTATTTTTATTCAAAAAATCATTCAGAATCATTCTATTCTCCGTAAAACAATTGGAGCCTTAGTCTGAGGGCTTTTCATCTTTGTTTTAAATATATGCTCCACTGTTATGCATTTTGTTTCCTCCATAGTATGTGGACAATCCATCCAGAGACTGATTTTTGGAAGTCATCTGATGAGGGGGATTATCTTCTTGTAGAATTTCGTTTAAAGCAATATTTTCAACATGATGGTATAGGAATTGTGTTCAATTGTTGGGCTGCATTATTGCTTTCGTTTATGTTGACTGTGGATAGTCTCATCTACTGAGCATGCAATGGTCACTGTAATTTCTTGCTTAAGAAATATATTAAATTAATGCTTTTCTCGTGCTTAGCAGTCCTGAGAAAGTCAAATTCAAGCCATCACAAAAAAAGAACAAGAAAGTAACAAGGGATAGGGATCTCTACAAGAAGAACTACTTACATGCATGTGAGAGCCTTCTGTTCTTGATGGTTAACAAGAGGCAACATCGGAAAACAGCAATTCTTTCACTGAAGAAATCTGGCCCTGAGCTTCCTGAACTCCTCACACAATTTTCTGCTGGCATTGCTGGTACTGGCCTTGCTGTGCTGCTATCTGTCATATGCAAGCTAGCTTGTGGAAGGGTTCCCTTGTGCGCGTCTAAGCTCTTCAACACAGGATTCGGCTTTGGATTGGTTTGGCTTTCTTGGGCAGTCAATAAGCTAAGGGATACAATTGTCAGCACAAGCAAGAATGTAGGAAAGTTAGGATTGAAAGATGAGGTAATGATTCATAAGGTGGATAAGAGCCTAAGAGAAGTTTACTTCAGAGCCGCAACATTGCTAGCAGTGGCAGTGCTAAGGCTTGCTTGAGTTCTATCTCCAAAGACGTGAGCACGTGCAGTTTGAAGAGCTTTAAGTGCTACAGTAGATAGAGTAATGTTTGGAACAGCCATTGAATGTCCATGGCCATGGCTTTTGGTGAAGTGATTGCAAAGCAGAACAATCTTGGTTTCAAAGCAATTGAACCTTGTTGGAAGCACAATATTGTGGATGTTTGGCTTGATCAGCACTTGGCTGGTGTAGTTTATCGGTATGGTTATTACTTGGTTTCAATTATCCAAGCAAGCATCATAATCATTTGATTGGTATTATAGCTGTAAGAGAAAATGTATATAGTGTAATGTCAAATTTTGCAACGAAATGAACTTACTCTCTTAATAAAAATGTTATCAGGTTTTCATTTGCACAAAATCCGGATATCAGGGCGACCAAAAGATGCATATCTTTGCATGGATTATCACTGCAACAAGATTTCAGCTCCCAGAATTATATTCTCGAAAGCCATAATTAGTAAATATGTGCGTAGTTAAATGAAGGCATACTTGCTAGAACATAACTCATGTCATAGACTAATGAACTGAACAAGCATGATTTAGTGATTTACTTGAAAGAAGGCATCATATAAACACTAGGCAGGTGCATTAAGGCATGATGTGATGCTAGTGCTACTAATGTTCAACAGATATAGCAATAATCTAAGATATGCAACTAAATCATGAAACGTTTTGTTTTTTTAGTACATTTTTGATAAAATGTTTTTGTCAGAAACTATTTTTTACCCCCATCCAAACCTTGTCATTGTAATTACATTTTGATTATATAAACAATCAGATATGCTAAAACTGACTCATTTAACACTACATAATTTGTATTAAAAAATAATACTTATCTGTTTAATAACTTAATTTCACACCACCACCTCCGGATTTTAGTAAAACAATGTACAAATAAAAATTTAATCTTCTCTTTGACAACATGATCCTGTAATTCCTGTGGATAATTACTTGATTTCAAGCATTTATTTCTTAGAGATTAAACCAATTTTGAAGCCTACTTTAACATAGTCTGCATCTCCCCCTCAGTGTACAAACCCATAGTGAATGGAAGCATACATTATACCTCTAGATGAGAGGAATTCTGAAAGTAGCGAGATAGAAAATACGGTAAAAATTGATCAGCTGATATTATACAAAAGAATTGATTGAATCGAATCAATTGATTTTTTATTCACAACTGTATGAGGTGATCGAATCAAAAGTTATGTGTATAAAAAACATTATAATAACTTGTTATATAATTAGTTAATGAAAGTTACATAAATATGACATTATATATCTAAGAAATGGACAGTACATACAGGCAACGTAACACAATACAAACCCCCCTAATATTCTGCGCTCAAGCGATTCCGGCCCAATTTTTTTTTCCAATTCGTTTTCGACAAGGAAATAAAGGGTTAGGATATTTTGACTACCAATTTTTTCTACTACCACTACACTACCACTTTAATCACCATTGGATTAGAGGAAAAGTTGAATGAAGAGAGAGAAAAGAAAAATAACTTTTAATCCAATGGTGATTAAAGTAGTAGTGGAGTGGTAGTAGAAAAAATTAGTAGTCAAAATATCCTACCTTGGAAATAAAAAACCAACACATAAGCTAGTTTCGGGTTTGAGCCCATTTTTTTTTTTTTTAAAAAAAACAGCTCTGTCCCTTCTGTTATATAATTTATGGGAAAAAGAAATATAATATTGCATGAAAATTATTAGGTTATATTATTATAAAGATGAGATTGTGGGATTTACACTTATTTTTAAAAATAAAAAACAAAAAAATGTGAGTCCCACAATATATATTTCTATAATACAGTGTAACAACTTCCTACAATATTATACTTCTATTTTTAATATTTTATTTATTAATCATGTATAGTGATTTAAAAATAGTCATAATAAGATATATAATGACTACATTATATAAATATTTATAGAAAAATATTACTCTTCTTTTACGTAAGATAACTTCTTTTATGTTCTCTCACTTCAATTTTTGCATCTCACATTTTTTTTTTTGTAATAGTGAAAGCCACCAATTTTCTCTCTACAACATAAGATAATTATCTTATGTAAAAAGAGACTAATAAAACCCATATTTATAACGCAAAAATAAGTGCAAGTGTGCAATCCTTTATAGTGGGAAATAATAATTCTCCAAAAATAAAATTTATACTCAATTGGTTAATGGGTACCACCAGAATTTAACGCATGAGATGAACAGGTGTTTTTGATTGGATTTTTCTGGACTTATGAGATAGGAAAGGAAGGACCCCTTAACACGCAGGGTTACCACTTTACTCCTTGCATCAAATTCTCACACTTTTTTTTTTTTTTTTCAATATTTTTCTTCTCAAGCTTCGTTTTCCCATTTATTCTTTGTGTAGATGAAATAAAGAAACTTTCACAACAAAAAAAAACACATTTATTTCTTACCGCACTTTCCCTTTTGCCAACCCAAAAGCCCTTATCTCTTTCTCCAAACATTCCTCATTTTCGATTCAAGCAATGATTTTGGGTGCTTAGTGTTCAACGTTGATTAATATGATTCCTTGGGGTGGCCTCAGTTGTTGTTTGAGTGCTGCTGCTCTTTACCTTCTCGGCAGAAGCAGTGGCAGGTAAAATCAATCTTTGCACGTGAATCGCGTTCAGTGGCATTCTATAACATATAAAGTTTTTTTCTTTTTTGATTTTTGTTTTTGGGTATAGGGATGCAGAAATTCTTAAATCCGTAACCCGTGTCAATCAGTTGAAGGAACTAGGTATGTGTCTTTTTCTGGTACTGAATGTTGTATCATCAAACATATTTTGCTCTTCTTATGCTTCCTGAGCTACACTTATGCAAGTTTAAATTGCATTGTTGTTGTTTTGAATAACATCATCTGAGTCACTAATCCTCATATGCATGTTACTGTGCCGGTGGTCCCCCTTGTGATTTCATAAATAATTGGTTATAATCATATCTAGGAAATGGGAAAAAATTTCTCTCTTTTTAACACATGGGGTTGTTTCAGCTGTGTTGTATGGCTATTTACAATATAGATATTTGATGATGTTGGTTGAAGAAAGTACAGATCAGCCTGTATAAAATTTACAATCTCCCTTTCCACATTGATAATACTGGCCTTTCGATTGGTAGTTTAATTCCATACAAATTGTTGTTGGTAGTTCTAACATTTTCTCATGTTTGTTTGGTTTTTGAATGGCCCCTTCAAGGGGCTAAATTTGGGTGGCATCTTGCTGCAAAGTGCTAGTTGCCCGTGAGATTGATTTTATTTGGGTTGTTTGCTGGTAATCAATTGTCATGATATATTCACCCTTCTTGCTGAGCTTTTTTGTCGCAAGATTCTTTTTTTTTTTGTCATCATTTTGGTAACAATGAGTTCTCACTTTTCACTATCGTTATACGCTTGAGAGTGATCCATAAGATACTGGTTTCCTTGGAATGTATTCCTACTAGTAGTACTTGTTATTAAAGCAAAACTGATGTGCATTTCTATGGTGCAGAAGACAGAGTTTAGATGCACTTTCATTGTATTATAGTTAACTACTTCACTTGATAATTTGTGATACAAACTGTGCTGCTGTGGTTTCTGATCATGCTTGGGATTCTCCATTTTTCAGCTCAACTGTTAGATGCGGAAATATTACCGTTGCTTGTTACAATTTCTGGAAGAGTGGGCTCTGAAACCCCAGTTAACTGTGAGTTCAGTGGTTTAAGAGGTGTAATAGTTGAAGAAACGGTATGCGGACATAATATTTTGAAGAGCATAAATAATCTCCATTTTATAAGGATGTTGCTTATCTCGTTTTGGCCCTTTGCAATTAATATTGAACATGTTTTACAATTTTCATTTTAGGCAGAGCAGCATTTTCTTAAACACAACGATGCTGGTTCCTGGATACAAGATTCTGCTTTAGTGCTATCCATGAGTAAAGAGGTTCCTTGGTATCTGGTATGCAGTTGTCTTTGTTCCCAAGTGGAGTTCTTTATTTATTAATTATTATTATTAATATTATTATTGGTTTGGGATAAATATTATTATTGGTTATCACTTATCAGGATGATGGTATATTTGCTTCTTAAAGTCAATGTTGAATCTTATGAAATGAACATCCTTGAAAAAAGGAAAATAACAATAAAAAAAGATTTGACAAAATATAAGTTCTGAGTGATGACCAATTCACTTGAAGTAAATATTTAAGATCACAGTCCCTTCATTTGTGTTAGGATGATGGGACTGATCATGTGCATGTAGTTGGAGCTCGGGGTGCCACTGGTTTTGTATTACCTGTTGGAAGTGAGGCATTTGAAGAATCAGGTCGGTCACTTGTACGTGGAACATTGGATTATCTCCAGGGTCTCAAGGTGGGAGTGCTAGTAGTTCATCCATCTAATCCCTTCTACTCCCCTGTCCCTGCAAATATAAAAGAAAAGTAGAAGCATTGAGTTTATTTTGTGAACCGACATAATTGAAAGTTGAAACCATGTTTTCAGATGCTTGGAGTTAAGAGAATTGAACGGGTACTTCCAGTTGGAACTTCCTTGACTGTCGTTGGTGAGGTAATGTAATTAGTTTCAAGAATATTGTTAAAATATTTTCTCAAGAGTGTTGTTTATTACAGAATTTCATTATAATAGGTATTATCAGTGTTGCAGGGTAGATAGGTAATGGTACAAGATTGAATGTAGGAGTAATACTTCCACTGCTACTTGCTAGAACAATCATTTAATTAAACGTGTGCTTCGTGATATAGACCTGATGACATGAATACTCCTGGTGTAAATTTTAAATTAGAAAAGCTTCTTGTAGATTTGATCATTTTATACATTCAAGTGAGATGAACTACACGTTATAAATTGTCAAACTCTGATCTTAGTCATTGTTGTTCTCTCAAAAAATGAAAAGTATTACGTCAGAATAATATGTTCCAAAGCAAAAGGGATTGCAATTTCTATTTTGAAATGAGGTCTTCCTTTCTGTATTTGATTTTAAACTCTGGTGGCATTTTTGTGTTTATTAAATATTAATCCTTTGGTGTTTTAATTTTTTTTTTCAATAATTGTTAAACTGTATGATCAGGCTGCTAAAGATGATGTTGGGACCGTTCGAATTCAGCGACCCCACAAAGGGCCATTTTATGTCTCTCCCAAAACGATTGATCAACTCATTGCAAATCTCGGGAAATGGGCAAGGTTGCTTTACAAATATGTAGATGCTTATTTAGTGCTTTGGTGTACCAGATTTTTTATTGACTAGATTTTCTATAGGTGGTATAAGTATGCTTCTGCGGGTTTGACAGTGTTTGGCGCTTATCTAATAGCCAAGCATGCTATTCGATACATCTTGGAAAGACGGCGCCGCATCGAAATGCAAAAAAGGTACACGTCACTGGCGATTCTTCTCATTAGTGGGGAAAAACTGAATGCTATTGAAAGCTTTTTAATTAGGAAAAGAGTGTTACAATGTTGTTGTTTTGAACAAGTGTTCACCTCTCAAGTTTAAGTGGAAGTATGCCCTATAAAATTCCACTCCATTCGATGTTCTCAACACCTCTTTGTCTTATTGTTAATGAGTCCGAACAATTTTATGCAGGGTTCTTGCTGCAGCTGCTAAGAGGTCAGGACAAGATAATGAAGGTATATTGCTAAGGTTCTATGATCTATAAGTTTGCAATGGCTGTTTCAATAGGTACCAGAAATTTATGATTCTTTCTCAGGTGAAAAGACTGACAGCTTATCAGATGGTGCTAGAAGGGATCGCTTCATGCCAGAGTTGTGTGTAATATGCCTCGTGCAAGAATATAATACTGTTTTTGTTCCGTAAGCTATCAATCTTATCCTCTTTCTAGCTCTGCTTGACATAAAATGTTCTGAAGTCAATGCTTGATCTCTTATATGTTTCTCTGCATACTGTAACATGCTATATTATAGGGAGCACTGCCACTGGGAATGACAAACGTGCTGTAAAATGTTCTGGCCAATTTTGTTATTTCTTCCATCAATATAAAATATCTCAGCCATTATTATTAAACATGAAGAAAAAAATTCTTTTTCATCCAGAATGATTCAAAACAAAATGTTATGTGGACAGAAATGTGTCTGTTAGCTATAGTTTAATCTTAAATTCAGTCTAAGTTTTACAGGCAAAAAAAAATGTGTGACTTTGCAGGAAGGATTCCCTTTAATTCACCTTTCCCCCCCCCCCCCCTTGTTGAACTGAGTTAAACTCCTTTGTAATTTGTATTATATGCTTTTCCCAAACTACATCTGCTAGGCTCAGGTCGGTTTGTATTATACACACTGTATATATGCCTGCTACAACCACCCAAACTGAGATGTTCAATTTAGTTTCACATTCTAATTAAAAGCCCCTAAGGGTTCATGTTATATTGTCAGGTGTGGGCATATGTGCTGCTGTACAGAATGCTCTTCGCACGTAACCAGTTGTCCTCTATGCCGGCGGCAGATAGAGAAGGTAGTGAAGACTTTCCGTCATTGATCATCGAGCATACGCGGAAGCCCAACTTAGTAAAGCTACATGGAATAAGGAACCATGCCTTAAGAATCCAAAAGTAACAATTTGGTCAATGGTGATTATATGATTTGTGGACCTTTTCATCATCATTTTCACAGGCTTTGCCTATGAGCAATCCTGAAAGCATTTCTGAAACCAACAGCTTAAAACAAAAACAATCATGACGGTGATTTACTGATTGATGCTTTTGGAATCTAAAATTGTAAATATTCGTTATCAGAAAAAAGTTGTACGTTACTATAATCTGTTGTAAAGTGCTACTTTCTTGTTAGATCTTTTCTACTTTTTTGTTGACTGTTCCAATATATGATATGACTCACCGCACGGATTTCTTTTTAGGCATAGAATGCTTGCTATTGATAGCAGTTTGTTAATCTCACCAGGAGCTTGTTTTATGCCCTTCAGCCCTTAACGCACGCATGGATGTGAGACTAGATTATTATCTTTTTAATCACTATCTTATAGATCACTATAATCCTAAGAAATATAGTATTTATATGTTTTCCCAGTAAAAGACAGCGTTAACTTCTAGGTTACGGCATCTTGAATGCTTCAAGTTCATTGATTTGGGGATTGGATGTTTTAGCGGGTCATTAAATCGTCCATCACCACTGGTGATGTAAATCAGACGAGGGCCTATGTTTGATCTCTGGGTCAAAAGTAGTTTGTGTGCTATGTCTTCCAAGCTGTGTACAGTTTAGTTGGACAAAACTGATCGTAGAACTGTGAACAGTTTTGGCATATATACTTGTCTTTCTAAAGGACTTTAAGAAGCATACCCCAATGGTGGAAAAGCATAGATGGTAAAAAAGGGGAATCCTTGGTGTGAGAATAAAGTAGATCACTCATTGGAAGTGCCTTGCTTCAGAACACTAATGAATGGCATGCTTTCTTTCTTGAAGGGCTTGACAAACTTAAATTCTTATCTGTCTTGGCCCAACCAAATCTTAAGATTAAATCTGAGCTACAGCATATTACAGATGCTTGCAAGAATTCTTTATTTTTAAGTCAATGGGATTGGTTAAGTGGTGAGGGGTTTGTGTAGTTTGCATGAGGTCATAGGTTTGAATCTCATTATCATTATTGTATATATATAAAAAAAAAGTTTTTACTTTTTCATCACTTAAGCTACATTAAAATCACATAAATTATTGATTTGTTTATTTATCCACTACTATATATTAAATTAGATTACATTATGTTATAGTAATTTATTTTTTAGTGCATTTTCTCTTAAAAATTATACTTGTTTTATTAAACTTTCTTCTTCTAAAATTTAAATTAAATATGCATATTTTTTAGTTTTAAGCATATTTCTCTTTTAATTTTTACCTTTTTGAATTCTTCCTGAATTATTATATATATATAATTATAATTTTAAATATTTTTTTCTTAAGTATTATTCTCTTTTTATTTATTTTTTAAATTTTACCTATGTTTTGAAATATTCATGCCTTGTTAATTTATGGGGAGGTAAATACTAAATAGTACAATTTGTCCCTCCTATACACTATGAACATGGAAAAATTTAACATGCTTCAGGCCCATCATTTATTCAGTGGTTCCTTTTCTATATATGGAAATTTTTCTTCCATTTCTTCCCCTTTCTTTTTGTTTTTTTCCCTCCGTCCTTTTTTTTTCTATTTTTGGGAGGGACCACCATGGTCCCGTCCCACAAAAAATCTTCTCCATGAACATCTTGGTATTCCATTCGAGACTCGTCATAAGATGTATGTAAAGTTGTGAGCGCAACCTATAGGGGTTGTAAACATGATAACTAGAAAAGAAGATTTGTATATAATTGAATTGTATAATATTTGTACAAGAGTTCTCTATTTAAAGAGACTAAAAAATCAAATAGGCTAAGCCCAAATACACTTATAGAGTACAAAATAATAATAAAATAATTCTATACTCCCCCTCAAGCTGAGAAATGGATATTTATCATTCCCAATTTGGTAGTAAGTTCTTGAAATCTATCATTAGGAAAATCCTTGGTTAAGACATCAGCCAATTGACGACCAGAAGGAATATATGGAGTAGTGATCAGTCCACTGTCTAATTTCTCTTTAATGAAGTGGCGATCAATCTCAATATGTTTGGTTCGATCGTGTTGAACTGGATTGTGGGCTATACAAATAGCTGACTTGTTATCACAAAGTAACTTCATAGATCCTTCATATCTCACCTTGAGATCATCTAGAATGATTTTCAGTCATAATAACTCACAGATACCTTGAGCCGTAGCTCGAAATTCTGCTTCTGCACTTGATCTAGCAACCACATTTTGCTTTTTACTTCTCCATGTTATAAGATTTTCACAGAGAAACATACAATAGCCCGAAGTAGACCGTCGATCAGTCACAGATCCAGCATAATCGGCGTCTGTATAAACTTCTAAGGATAAGTTTTCTCCTCTCTGGAACAATAGTCCTCTACCTGGTGTGCCTTTCAGATATTGGAGAATCCTGTCCACAGCTCGCAAGTGTTTCTCTCTCGGATCATGCATAAATTGACTAACAACACTAACTGCATAAGCTAGATCAGGTCTAGTATGAGCTAGATATATCAATCTGCCCACTATTCGTTGATATTGTCCTTTGTCAACTGGATAGCTCTCATTTTCACTTCCTAGTCTGTGATTCTGCTCAATCGGAGTACTGGAAGGTTTACACCCAAGTTTTCCTGCTTCTTTAAGGAGGTCAAGAACATACTTCCTTTGACAAATAAATATCTCTTGCTTTGAATGAGCAACTTCTATCCCAAGAAAATATCTCAGTTTTTCAAGATCTTTAACTTCAAATTCAGTACTCAATCTTTTTTTCAGAGCACATTTCTCACCTATATCATCCCTTGTTATAATAATGTCATCAACATAAACAAGAAGGATAGTGGTCTTACCTTCCTGAGAATGTTTAAAGAAAAGTGTATGATCCCCTTGACTTTACTTGTATCCCAATAAAAGCATGACTTTGGTAAATCTTCCAAACCAAGCACGCGGGGATTGCTTCAAACCATACAACGCCTTCTTTAACCTGCAAACTTTATTATCTCCATTTGTAGAGTTAAATCCTGGTGGAATCTCCATGTAAACCTCCTCTTCTAATTCACCATTGAGGAAAGCATTTTTCACATCAAATTGGTTCAAATCCCAGCTAAAATGAGCAGCGAGGGACAATAGAACTCTTACAGTGTTCATTTTGGCCACTGGAGCAAATGTTTCTTCGTAATCAATGCCATAGGTCTGTGTGTATCCCTTGGCTACCAATCGAGCTTTATACCTCTCAAGAGTCCCATCAGAATTATACTTCGGAGTATACACCCATCTGCACCCTACTGTTCTTTTTCCATTTGGCCTGCCAACAACTTCCCATGTATTATTCTTCTCCAATGCATTCATCTCCTCATGCATGGCTTGAACCCAATTATCATCCTTTAATGCTTCATGTACTGATTTCGGGATTGAAATGGAGTCAAGTGCTGTAATAAAACTTCTATGCTGCAGAGAAAGATTCTTAGAGGAGACAAAAATGAGAAATAGGGTGTTGGGTACAATACCTTTTCCCTTTTCTTACAGCAATGGGTAAGTCATCAGAATTAATATCAGGCTCAGGAATAAAAGAAGTAGTGTGTTCAGTACTTACCAGCGGTTCAGGCGATTGCAGTTGCTGATGGGGTAGTGTGGGTTATTTCTTCCTTTGGTAGAATAGTTCAGGTGTCCCAGCTTTGCGTACTTTCTATCTATCAATAGGAGGCATGTCACATGAGGAATCAGATGAATTTTCAAACTCAGCAATTAAGTCTTCCTTTTCATTGTCATGTCGTGTAACTATTGGAGTAGAAGATGTAGGTAACAGAAAGGGAGACTCAGACTCGAAGAAAATGGATGAAGCTTCTACACTATTCTCCCCCTGAAGCTGAGGGTGTAGAAAGTAAGACTCAGATTCATGGAAGCTAACATCCATAGAGACAAAGAATTTACGACTTGGAGGGTGGTAACATTTGTATCCTTTCTTGTTGGGAGCATAACCAAGGAAGACGCACTTAAGGGCTCTAGGCTCTAATTTACTCCTATGTTGTTTATGGATATGGACGAAGGCAACACATCCAAAGATACGAGACTGGAGACTTTGCATAATTGGAACAGAAGGAAAAAAAGAAGTCATGAGATCAACAGGACTTACATGGCCAAGAACTCTGGAAGGCAAGCGGTTGATCAAATAGGCTGCAGATAATAAGGCTTCTCCCCAGTAAGAGTTGGGTACAGATGTTTGAAACAATAATGCTCTTGTGACTTCAAGCAAATGTCGATTTTTTCTTTCAGCAACCCCATTCTGTTGAGGGGTATCCACGCATGTGAGCTCATGAATCATACCCTTATTTGAAACGAATTGTGACAGACGCTGGTTGACATACTCCGTACCATTGTCAGATCTTAATCTCTTAATACTTTTACCAAACTGTGTCTCGATCATTTGATAAAATCGAATAAACAATTCTGGTACTTCTGACTTGTCTTTCATCAAGAATATCCATGTCATCCGAGTGCAATCATCAATAAAAGAAACAAACCACCTAGCACCTGAAATATTATGTACTTTAGACGGGCCCCAAACATCTGAATGGACAAGAGTAAAAGGCTCAATGCTCTTTATTGAACTTGTAGGAAAGGGCATACGATGATGTTTCGCAAGCTCACAAACATCACAATGGAAGGAGTCAATTGCCTGATCCTTAAACAAAGAAGGAAACATTGACTTCAATAAGCCAAATGACGGGTGCCCCGGGCGTTTGTGATGAAGCCAAATCTGTGAGAATGAAGTAGACGGGTGATGACTCATTAATAATTGATTCCCGGTATCCCTTGTAGCATGCTCTGGAATGAGATAGTACAACCCACCTTGCTCCTTAGCAACTCCAACCGTCCTCCCCGTGGTGATATCCTGAATAACACAATGAGTAGGAAAAAATGTGACAGCACAATTCATGTCAGTTGTAAGCTTATAAGTGGAGATAAGATTGGTAGAGAGCTGAGGAACCTAAAGAACATTCTTTAAAAATAAAGAAGGTTGAATTTGAATGTTACCAGAACCCACAACTGATTTGTGGGATCCATCAGCTACAGCTATAGTACGGATACCACTAGTAGGGTGATATGAAAGAAAAGAATCAGCTAGACAAGTCATATGATCAGTTGCACCAGAATCCATAATCCATGAATTTTTGAAATGAGTGCAAGATGAAAGAAGAGATGTAGGGTGTGTGATCTTACCAAACATAGTTGATCAGAAAAATAAAATAAATTTTTCCTCTTTTTTTTTTCGGGTGAACAGTGCGCGATGAACAGTGTCGCGTGAACAGTGCGCGCGATGAACAATACTTTTTTTTTTCTAGAGCTGTTCCAGTCGTTTGATGAAAAAGAAACCTCCGTAGAATGATAGATCTGAGAAAACAGAGTGAAACAGGGGTCCTCACGGTCCAAAAAGTCCTCGGATTTTTTTTTTCCGGCGGCGGCTTTGTGGCAGCGAGAGGCAAAAGGGTTTAATTTTTTAGAGGCAGTGATTTGCGGAAGCAGAGCCCTCAGAATCGAGAGCTCTGATACCAACTAGAAAAGAAGATTTGTATATAATTGAATTGTATAATATTTGTACAAGAGTTCTCTATTTAAAGAGACTAAAAAACCTAATGGGCTAAGCCCAAATACACTTATAGAGTACAAAATAATAATAAAATAATTCTATTATTTACAATATGATACATGGACAAAAACATAGGAAAAAGTATTTGTCCTTTTAGATGATACAACTTATGTCATTTCATTCTTACAAAGAGGTGAGACCCACACTTTTTTTTTTGTCCACTCTCTCCCCTCTTTGTCTATCTTTTTTTCTCTTTTAAAATGACATAAGTTTATATCTTTTAAGATGACACACACTTTTCTCAAACACAAAAAGCATTAACAAGCATTTAAGACAAATTATTAAATAATTTCTGCGCTACTATCCACATTCTTTTTATACAAATAGGGATTAGGATTCTGGTTGGTTCAAGAAAAAAAACAACCTACGAGCCAAAACCATATCCAGTTGCATCACATTATGGATTTTTTTATTTTATTTTTTAAATTTTAATATTATGGAGTCTATTTTCTTCTTTTAGTATTGTGGTATACTCAATTTCATGACTAGAAGTCATTTTTCACCAAAAGACGTTATTCTTATCTTGGCATTCACATAGAGCCATGTGAATCACGTTTCCTGAGTGGGAAGCCTGTACGTGATTCTTCCAGCTAGGGTTTGTTTGTTTATTTATCCAATCTAGAACTATGAGAGTTTGCTGAATCCTATACCATCCATGTGCTCCTTTGAAAGAAAGCCCTCATTTCATATTTAATGGACTAAGCTACCATGTGTGCCAATGACATATATAGAAATGGCCATAGTGAACAACAAAGTGGGAATCGATCCCCGCTACCCCATGCCATTGAAATTAAGAAAAATTCTTCACATTAGTGGCTGTTAGGAATCTTGGTTTCTTCAATTACTATTGGTTCCAACAAGGAAAACAATTCAAAAGTAGATGTTTGTTATTATTTTTCAAATATTCTTCTTGTCTTTCTATCTTTCCTATAAAACATTAATACAATCTTCTAAGCTTAATAAGCCTGTTTGAGTACACCATAACCCTTGGATCACTTGCTATGGAGAAAAACGACAATTCAAACTTTTCAGTGTGCAGGAAAATCCGTCAAGCAATTGCAAGCAACACTGCTGTCCGAGCTATTCAACGCATCTCAAGCTTTAACCAAGAACCTAAAGCTCCATCATCATCCCCTACTAACACCAATATCCAAACAAAACAACCACCTTTTCCTCAACATCATAAGGTTCATACAGAAACATCATCAGGAGAAATCCCCATCATGTTTGATTACCCAACCCCTACTACATCAACGGACTCAACAAAAAAAGGTGTTGGAAATTCAGTGGCTGCTAAAGGTGAACCTCAACCAAAACATGTTCCCATGCAAGGGAAACACCAAACGAAGGCAGAGGCACAACATGGTCATGGTGTGCACTCAGAGCAACAAGGTAAGAAATCAATAGATATTAATGACACTTTTCGTGAGTTCATTCAGAGTGCTAAGCACAAAATCAGAACCGTGTCTAACGTTGGTCGAGGGCAGAGTAACCCTGCTGCTCCATCAGATCATGAGGCCCATGATACCAACAAAAACGAAAACCAAAAAGACCATTTTTTGGATTTCATTCATCGTGGTAAGAAGAATTTCAGAACTACAACAATTGTTGGTAAGTAAGACTGGTTCCTTGAAAAGAGAGTACGAAAAGTGATGCTAGCTTGTGTTGCATCTAAAATCTAAATTAGGCTATACCCTACCAGGGTCTGCAAGCCTAATATTTCTTTCTTAGTTTAACTTTAAATGTATGTGTCCATGTCTTGATGTTGGTCTATATTTCGGTTCTCTTTCCCCTCTCATTTCTTCCTCTTTTACCTAAATATATTATCATGTAATTTAGAGTTTTCTAGAGTTTGTATTTCAACAGTTTGAGAATTAATTACGTGTAATATATGCTCCTTTTTTATTTTTTTGGTGAGATATATGCTCCCATTAAGTCTAATGAACATTGCACATGGTTACTTACTAGCCTACTACAACTCATTTGGGGATTACTCCAATACCTAATTTTAGTCGTTTTTTTTTTTATTATTATTATTGAATACTAATACCAATGTGAGCTTGGCTACCATCTCATTGGAACAGCGGATGCATTGAGTTACGTTTGGGGGTTGAGAGGTTAAAAAATTTAGTAGTTGTTAATTATATTTGGTAAACTTCTAAACATTCAATACTAATAAATGTTTAACAACGCACATGTAGCTTTGTGGATACCAAAATAAATTGCTTTGTCACAAAGGTAAAAAGGAATGATCCTGAAATGGTTTTCGAAGATGCTATTGGCTTCGGGGTTCATTGAATGTCAATTTGATTACCAGCAGCATCTTGTGAGCAGGGGTGTAAAAACGGGTTGACCCGACATGAATTTAACACGACACGAATACATTAACATGAACACGACATGAATTTTTGTTCGTGTCAAAATTTTCAACACTGACACGACATAGATTTTTTGCGTGTTGACACGACACGACACGAAAAATAGGGGTCAAAACGGTAATTGACAACCAAATTTAAAAAAATGGTTCAAATTAAAAAAAATTTAAAAATAATAATAAAAAAATAAAAATAAAATAATTAAAAAAAAATAAGGGTCGACACGAACACGAATACCTCAACACGAACACGACACGAATTTTTTACGTGTCATTTTTTTCAACACGACCACGACACGAATTTTTTTACGGGTCGACCCACGTGTTATAACCTATATTGACACCCCTCCCTGTGAGGACCAGTCGGAAAAAAAAAATTAAAAAAAAAATATTTATTAATCAGAAGAAAAATAAAATTAAGGGAGGAAAAAAATAATAAACCGAGAGAAGTACATATTATGATCTTTCGTTAGAATTTGTCGGCCCAACCCAATTGTTTAAATAGGAGCTAACCGAAGCCCAATGATTCCACCTACAGATCCATTAGCATGTCCGTCTAGTTCACCACCGCTCTTTGGTAAGTGATGACTTTTTATTAAAAAAAAATTCGGTAAACGATTTTTGATAAAATTTAATCAGACTTATTTTTGCATGAAATAAAGTAATAAATATTACTTGCTCATTTAAAAGACAACAAGTATGCAAAATTATTATTTAAAAAATTCTTAAAAAAATATATTTAATATCTAGCATTTTTATTAAAAATTTTTTTGGAGCTTTTGTCTAAAGTACCACATTTTTATTTCTAAAGTACTCAATTATTATGTCAATCGTTGCATTTGACACTTATGTCAAATTATTAGCCAAAATCTGCTCTTCTTCCATGTCAACTCTTCTCTCATTTATAAGTCTTACTTTGTTATCTTTTGGGAAAGAATCAATAAAACTATAAAATTTGTGAGTGAAAAAGAAAAAGAAAATGAATAGGTACGAGTAGGAGACAACAACAAAAAAAGACGAACGTGATGCAAGCTAGTAGGGCTGTAGGGGTGCCTTCAATTCTTCATCTACTTTTTCATCTTAATAAAAGTAATGGTGAGGAACGTCAGCGTTATTAATGTTTAATGTCTCAAGTATAATTAATGGGTTTTATTAATCTCCTTTCACATAAGATAGTTATCTTATGTGGTAGAGAGAAAATGGGTGGGTCCCACCATTACAAGAAAAAAGAAAAAGAAGAAAAAAGTGGGGTGCAAAAATCGAAGTGAGAGAAAATGAGATAAGTTATCTCATGTAAAAGGAGAGTAATATTTCCCATAATTAATTTCTCGTTCAAAAAAATAAATAGTTAAGAAAAAAAGCCGACTTTTTAGTTTGTGATCAAGATCATATTATGACATATACACATGAAAACAATCTGATACTCCTTAATTTATCTGCAGCTACACTTTGTAGATTAATTATTTGTGTGTAGAAATGTGCAAAATAATCAAAAAATTGAACCGAACCATAAACCGAATTGAACCGCCCTTAAAATAACCAGTTTTTAAAAATCAATTCATGAACCGAACCGGTTTTTAAAGAATCAGTTCATGAACCGAATCGATTTTTAAAACCAGTTTAAGAACCGAACCATTTTGAACCGAATCGGACCGTTTCCGAACCGAACTGTTTTCAAACTGAACCAAATTGATTTTTATAACTTTATTTTTCTTTTCTTTTCAAAAGAGGGTCGACCCGAACCGGTTCCAAACTGAATCGAACCGTTTCAAACCGAACCGAACCATTTAAATCAATTCAGTTCAGTTTTTCAAAAAATCCGATTCGGTTCGACCTATACACATATCTATTTGTGTGAGTGTCCGGTTCGGTTCGACCCATGCACATCCCTATGTGTGTGTTTAGGGGGAAAAAATAAATTTTTTAATTAGAAAGAATGTTTAATTGTTTGAAGGTCATATCTAAAAGGTCTTTATTGAAATCTTTCTTATGTTCTTTCATTGGTATATAATGTGGATGAAATATAAATTCATGAAAATAATATCTTCTATCTGTTGTATGTATATCAACGTATACGTGTGTAGAAGTGGGCCAATTAATCAACAAGCCCAAAGCTAAAAAATCACTCTGGGCCATGAATAGTATCGGGCCTCTCTGAATCTAACCCTCAGTCCTTGACTTACGACCATAACGAAATATGAGACTGCAAAATTTCATGAATCCAGTAAATATTTATACCCGTATTTTTAAGTAAAATTAAAATATCTAAAATTAAAATAAATATGTGTATAATTGATTTAAAATATAAATTTAAAGGGGAAAAAATAAATTTATGAAAATATATGTATAATTAATTCAAAAGAATTTAGATTTAAAATAAAAAAATTAAACTGACATGTGTCATTCGAAGTGTACTATTTTAGAGATTGAAGAAAACAATACAGAGATTGGGACAAATTACCTTTTTCCTGTTTCTATTTAATTGCTTGAAAATACTATTTTAGAACAAGTTGTTTTCGAAGTGTATATATATTATATGGGAAAAAGAATTCTTATGTTGTAGGAGGGCTCTTTTCTCATGTTAGTGAGAGTTCGTTTTGCGTGTACTAATTTTTTTTGTTTTCTTTATTTTTTATGTGTGGGCCCCACTATAAATTTGAGTGTGTAGGAGATTTCCTCCTCTCCAATAGCATAAAAAATCATTGCCCATATTATATTATATATATTAAAGTACAATTCGAGCTTACGAAAAAAAAGAAAAAAAGAAGGTGCAATTCGACTTAGGCCAGAGGTTTCTTTCTTTCACATCCTAAGTCCTAACAAGTAACAACAAAGGTCAAGGGACGTTAAATATACTTTCAGAGTTTGAAAGTGATATGAATGCAAAGCAAACAATCTTTTGGGATTCTAACCAAAATGTCACTGTTCACCAATTTTTTTACCTAAATGCCATGCGAACAGTGTTATTTCCCAATCTGCCTCGGGGGCAAGTTCGCTTCTGACACAAGCGACCTCGGTTTACTGACGTGTCACATTTTTAGTGGATAACAAATATTAAATTTAAAAAAAAAAATCAAAAAAAATGAAGTTCGCCCACCATGTAGGCGAACTTGATTAAAATATTGTTGGAACCGAGGTCGCCTGTGTCAGAAGCGAACTTTGACACCACCAGGAAGCTGACACATCAGCAAACCGAGGTCGCTTGTGTCAGAAGCGAACTTGCCCCGTGGCAGATTGGAAAATAACACTGTTCGCGTGGCATTTAGGTAAAAAAGTTGGTGAACAGTGGCACAATGGTCATTCCGAAAGAAAATGGGGAGGGGGCGCGGATGATGGGAAGGGAAGAGGGGGGGTTTTATAGGGTGAAAAAGTATCCGTTGGGCACAGGTCGCCTGCGTGGGCAGCGACCTCCGTTTCATGCACGCCACGTGGCCTGGCTGGTCAGGCATTAATTGCAACAGAGGTCGCCAGCGTCAGTCGCGACCTCGCTTGCATGCACGCCACGTGTCCTGGCTGGTCAGGCATTAATTGCAACAGAGGTCGCCTGCGTCAGTCGCGAACTCTGACACCACCAGGAAGCTGACAGCTCAGCATTCCGAGGTCGCTACTACTCCCAGCGAACTAGCCCGCGTGGCAGTTTGGGAAAAAAGTTTAGGTGCGTGGCATTTAGGTAAATAACAGTGGCACAATGGTCACTGTTCCTTTTCTTTTTCTCTCTCTCTCTCTTAATTTTCTTGCTCTCACATTTGGTCTTTTTGTCTTCATTTGAGGTTAGTGATGTATAATTTGATTAATTTTTATTCTTTTTTAATTGTTAGTTAGTTATTGTTTAATATATTATATGTAACATAAAATATTAGGTTAGATGACATTTTAATTGTTTTATTATTTTAATTAGTTTAATATTAGTAGTTTAGTAATTACATTTTAATGTTAGTAGTTTAATAACATATTGTTTAATTAATGTATGTAATAAATAGTTTTATATGCGTTATTTATTTATAGGTTATAGGGTAAGATAATTTTTATGATTAATGTTATGACACATTAGGTTAGATGACATATTATTTATTTTATTATTTGAATTATTCTAATATTAATAGTTTAGTAATTGCATGTTAATTTAAGTAGTTAAATATTTTATAGTTTAATTAATCTATTTAATAAATTATTTTATATGCATTATTTATTAATAGGATTTAGTCAGTTTATATTTTTATATGTTAATGTGTCTATTTATGTAGTTAATAAGTTGTTAATTATGCAATAAATAATAATATTGAATTAAATAAAATCATTTATTTGTAGGATTGAAAAATAAGTTGTGTTAACTTTGAACATTGACTTATATAATATGTATGTTAATGTTATTAGGTGTAGTACTTTTTATTAATGTATAATTTAATAATAATATTAATTGTTTGATATTATTTATAGGCTTGGCATCTAGGTTAGAAAAGAATTATTTTA